GAGCGAGAGGCATCGATGGCGTGGGACGAGCGGCGCCGCCGTGGGAAGCCGGTGAGGGAGGCAAGCTGAACTTGGGGGGTCGTGCGGAGATGTGGGGGTCCCGCGGGTGGGCAGGTGGCGGCTTGGACAGCTGCCTCTGGGTCCTAGTTTCCTTTCCTTCGGCGGAAGGAGTTGGAGCTTCTCGGTGCCGACTGTGTCCTCCTGCCTCGTCAGGAGCCGTCGGAGAAGACAGCGGAGACAGCGGCGTGGGCAAGAAGAGCGGCGGCTTGGAGCTGAAGAGGGGGCGCGAGAAGGGCCCTCTGGGCAAAGGGACCTCCCTGGCATCCCCGGGGCAGGGATACCTACGAGTCCGGCGGGCACCTTCGGGCTGCCCCGGCCGGCTTAGCGCTGGGCGACCTCCCTGTAAGCAGGGCTGGGTCTTTGCGGTGCTTGGCGTCGGCCTTTTGCCGTCGTCGCGCTCCTGAGGCTGCCCGGAGAGAGGCTGAAGCACCCTGTAAGGAGGGTGAGAGCCCCCGTCTCCGCACCCGAGGGGGAAGCGGAGCTCTCCCGACCCCCAGCCCACCCTGTAAGCAGGGCAGGGCTTTTCCCCTTGGCACCTCGGTGCCTGCTGGCGGCCCCTGGCCAGAGTGAGGCCCCTGTAGTCGGGGTGCGTCACAGCCCCTGCGCCTGGGCCAGCCGCGAAGCCCCTCAGCGCGTCGAGGCCCTTGTGGCCCGTGCGCAGCCCGAGGGCGGGTCTGAGGCTCTCCTCTCCTGCTCGACGGCAGACAGGGCTGGCTCCCCACACGTTGGCGCGCAGAGCTCGCTCCCCCTTCTGGGACGTTCCCTCCCCCTTTGTGTCTTTGTCGGTGCGAGTGAGCGAGCGAGCTTGTCCTTTAGCCCCCGTAGAAAGTAGAGAGCAGTGTAGCTTAGACTTCCCAGGAGGGAAAGAGGGGCTCTGCGCAGCAACCGGGGGCTGCCCTCTAAAGCAGCCGCGGGCGGAGACACGGCCCGGCCTTGCCCCTCGTTCCCGAGGAGGGAGCGAAGCCCCTTAGTGGTGGCGCGGGCAGCGTGCCCCGGCTGTAGCCTGGGCCTGGGGCGCGTGCCCGCGCGGCGGGGCCGCCTGTCCTGGCAGGTGCCGGGCCAGCGTGGCACGTCCCCCCGCCCCCCACCCCGTCCTCGGGGCTGGGACCCTGTCCCCCGGCCTTGGGCCGCGAGGCCACCCTTTGGGAGTGCCGGGCCTCGGGGGGGGCGGCCCCGTAAGTGGGGTTTTGTGCGTCCCCCCCTGCTCGGCGGGCGGTTGGAGGGACCCCCCTGTAATCAGGCGGGTGTCCCGCGGGGTCCCCGGCCTTTCACAGGCGTGGGGCTGGGCGTGTGCCCTCCCTGTCCCCCGGGGCTCAGCTGGAGGCCTTAGGCCGTGAGAGCTCCGCTGCCTGGCAGTGGAGTCTCCTTGCCCCTGCTGCGGGGGAAGGCCGAGCTCCGTGGCTCCCTGGGTGTGGACCCGCCCGTAAGCGGGGTCTGGGTCTGGGAGCCTTTGTGCTCCCTCAACTGGCAGCCTGTGCGGGGCGACCGCCCCGTTAGCGGGTCGGGTGCCCCCGAAGCGGAGAGAAGGAGCCTCCGTGGGCCTTTGGGCCCAGGGCCCCCCTGTAAGTCGGGGAGGAAGCGCCCTGGAGTCCCGGGCACTTTGCGGTCCAGGCAGCGGCTCCAGCCCCCTGTAAGCAGGGCGGCAGCCTCCCTGACCGCTGCTTTGCACGCCCAGCTGCCTTTGCCCAGAGGGCCCGGCTCCCAGCAGCGGATGGGACCTCGCCGCGCGTCGCCGTGGTGAGTCAAAGTGCCGTCTGGAGGGTTTGGGGGGCTGGAGGGAGGGGGGCGGCGGGGTGGCCTGTGGGGGGAGCGGCTGGTGGCTTGGGGATGTGCCTCTGGGGCTGCATGCCGGGGCCCGGTTTCCCTCACGGGGAGGAGCCGGGGATTGTGGGGCCCAAGTGCGTCCTCCTGTCTCGGCAGAAGCCGTGGGAGAAGAGAGCGAGAGGCATCGATGGCGTGGGACGAGCGGCGCCGCCGTGGGAAGCCGGTGAGGAGGCAAGCTGAACTTGGGGGGTCGTGCGGAGATGTGGGGGTCCCGCGGGTGGGCAGGTGGCGGCTTGGACAGCTGCCTCTGGGTCCTAGTTTCCTTTCCTTCGGCGGAAGGAGTTGGAGCTTCTCGGTGCCGACTGTGTCCTCCTGCCTCGTCAGGAGCCGTCGGAGAAGACAGCGGAGACAGCGGCGTGGGCAAGAAGAGCGGCGGCTTGGAGCTGAAGAGGGGGCGCGAGAAGGGCCCTCTGGGCAAAGGGACCTCCCTGGCATCCCGGGGCAGGGATACCTACGAGTCCGGCGGGCACCTTCGGGCTGCCCCGGCCGGCTTAGCGCTGGGCGACCTCCCTGTAAGCAGGGCTGGGTCTTTGCGGTGCTTGGCGTCGGCCTTTTGCCGTCGTCGCGCTCCTGAGGCTGCCCGGAGAGAGGCTGAAGCACCCTGTAAGGAGGGTGAGAGCCCCCGTCTCCGCACCCGAGGGGGAAGCGGAGCTCTCCCGACCCCCAGCCCACCCTGTAAGCAGGGCAGGGCTTTTCCCCTTGGCACCTCGGTGCCTGCTGGCGGCCCCTGGCCAGAGTGAGGCCCCTGTAGTCGGGGTGCGTCACAGCCCCTGCGCCTGGGCCAGCCGCGAAGCCCCTCAGCGCGTCGAGGCCCTTGTGGCCCGTGCGCAGCCCGAGGCGGGTCTGAGGCTCTCCTCTCCTGCTCGACGGCAGACAGGGCTGGCTCCCCACACGTTGGCGCGCAGAGCTCGCTCCCCCTTCTGGGACGTTCCCTCCCCCTTTGTGTCTTTGTCGGTGCGAGTGAGCGAGCGAGCTTGTCCTTTAGCCCCCGTAGAAAGTAGAGAGCAGTGTAGCTTAGACTTCCCAGGAGGGAAAGAGGGGCTCTGCGCAGCAACCGGGGGCTGCCCTCTAAAGCAGCCGCGGGCGGAGACACGGCCCGGCCTTGCCCCTCGTTCCCGAGGAGGAGCGAAGCCCCTTAGTGGTGGCGCGGGCAGCGTGCCCCGGCTGTAGCCTGGGCCTGGGGCGCGTGCCCGCGCGGCGGGGCCGCCTGTCCTGGCAGGTGCCGGGCCAGCGTGGCACGTCCCCCCCGCCCCCCACCCCGTCCTCGGGGCTGGGACCCTGTCCCCCGGCCTTGGGCCGCGAAGCCACCGTTGGGAGTGCCGGGCCTCGGGGGGCGGCCCGTAAGTGGGGTTTTGTGCGTCCCCCCTGCTCGGCGGGCGGTTGGAGGGACCCCCTGTAATCAGGCGGGTGTCCCGCGGGGTCCCCGGCCTTTCACAGGCGTGGGGCTGGGCGTGTGCCCTCCCTTGTCCCCGGGGCTCACCTGGAGGCCTTAGGCCGTGAGAGCTCCACTGCCTGGCAGTGGAGTCTCCTTGCCCCTTCTGCGGGGGAAGGCCGAGCTCCGTGGCTCCCTGGGTGTGGACCCGCCCGTAAGCGGGGTCTGGGTCTGGGAGCCTTTGTGCTCCCTCAACTGGCAGCCTGTGCGGGCGACCGCCCCGTTAGCGAGGAGCGGGTCGGGTGCCCCCGAGCGGAGAGAAGGAGCCTCCGCGGGCCTTTGGGCCCAGGGCCCCCTGTAAGTCGGGAGTAAGCGCCCTGGAGTCCCGGGCACTTTGCGGTCCAGGCAGCGGCTCCAGCCCCCTGTAAGCAGGGCGGCAGCCTTCCCTGACCGCTGCTTTGCACGCCCAGCTGCCTTTGCCCAGAGGGCCCGGCTCCCAGCAGCGGATGGGACCTCGCCGCGCGTCGCCGTGGTGAGTCAAAGTGCCGTTTGGAGGGTTTTGGGGGCTGGAGGGAGGGGGGCGGCGGGGTGGCCTGTGGGGGAGCGGCTGGTGGCTTGGGGATGTGCCTCTGGGGCTGCATGCCGGGGCCCGGTTTCCCTCACGGGGAGGAGCCGGGGATTGTGGGGCCCAAGTGCGTCCTCCTGTCTCGGCAGAAGCCGTGGGAGAAGAGAGCGAGAGGCATCGATGGCGTGGGACGACGGCGCCGCCGTGGGAAGCCGGTGAGGGGAGGCAAGCTGAACTTGGGGGGTCGTGCGGAGATGTGGGGGTCCCGCGGGTGGGCAGGTGGCGGCTTGGACAGCTGCCTCTGGGTCCTAGTTTCCTTTCCTTCGGCGGAAGGAGTTGGAGCTTCTCGGTGCCGACTGTGTCCTCCTGCCTCGTCAGGAGCCGTCGGAGAAGACAGCGGAGACAGCGGCGTGGGCAAGAAGAGCGGCGGCTTGGAGCTGAAGAGGGGGCGCGAGAAGGGCCCTCTGGGCAAAGGGACCTCCCTGGCATCCCCGGGGCAGGGATACCTACGAGTCCGGCGGGCACCTTCGGGCTGCCCCGGCCGGCTTAGCGCTGGGCGACCTCCCTGTAAGCAGGGCGCGTGATATCCTTTTGCCTTTGGCAGTTTTCATAGTGTGGGAAAATTTTTTTTTTTTAGCTTTTTTTTTTTTATTTTGTGTTTTTATTCTTATTTTCTTATGTTTTTTAAGTATTTTTTGTTCTTTTAATCTTAATTTTTTTATTTTTAATTTTTAAAAAATTTTTTATTTTTTATTTTTAGCGGTTTTTCTTCCCACGTCAATTATCTTTTAGAAATGAAAAACTAGAGGCAAAGTTTTAGGAAAGCCATTCTAAGAAACTACTGTAAGGTAGACATAAATAAAGAAAAATGATTGAGCGAGTGCATACGTGTCTATCCCTTGCAGGTATGTACATACATAGCCGACATGTAATAATAAGCAAGAGGTCAAGACTGTTGCCAAGTTACAAATATTACTAATTTTGCTAAGGTAGGGGAAAAATGTCACCTTCCTCTTCTGTTTTATGCCTGGTTACTAACTTAAGCTTTTTGTATTTGATTAGTCTGTGCACTTTGTAGTCCTAGACTGATGTTAAGGCAATTTCTGCCATTACACAATAATTCATTCATTACTCCAAATTCAGATTATGTGGGTGCTCACACAGACCACAGGAGACAACTTAGCGCAAAACAGGTGCAACATGTTAAACAACAGCGAAAAGACTGGAGCGTGAACATAAAGGAGAAGGACAACCATGAACATACTTAGCAATAAATCCCAGGCGCAGTGATGCTCTGCTGTTGTTACTCAAAAGTGTTTGCCAGCAGAAGAAGCAGCAAAATGCTTTTAAAACACTGACTCTTTCAAAAAGGAGGTGCAAAATTTTAAGCCTGTCAGCTACTTCCAACTTGTTTCCATCTAATTAGCAATAAAGCTTACATTATAAACTTTACAGAATAACCTGTGTTCTTTTGCATGCGAGACCAGATTTTTCTGTCTTCTATTTCAAGCCTTTCTCTGTCATGTTTATAGACAGACAATGAATTTCCACAACAGTAGAGAACAATTAATCCTGACAACATTTTAACCCACTCCAACGCTAACAAACCAACTTCTTTATGTTACTTATCTTGGGCTCGGATATTTAGTATCAAGGGAAACAGCACAACAGAGCAAGCTTCCTTTAAAAAACAATGATAGACAATGCTGATTTAAAACATAATTTACTCAACAGACTTTGAAAAATTAAATTAGAACAAAGAGAAAACCTTACGTTTCAAAGTATATGAACTTCATTTTTAAAAAAAGTAGTATTGAAATGATAGCTTTACTTTATGTAAACATTGCTACACTGGGCTGTACTTGAAAATTCTCGTGCATGCCTTAAGTTGCAAAATAATTTTTCAGTTTAGACACAGCTACGCCAATTAGCACTCACATGGTTATTTTCAGAATCAACAGCTTTGCAAATTTAATTGCATACCTCTCTATATAACTCAGAATACAATCCTGCACTTTCTGAGAACAGATGTTTCCTACAATTTAGAAAAATAGCATTCATAACTGTGTGTGCATTGCAAAGGCAAATAAATTAACAAATAGAGCTTTTTCATTATAAAGTCTCAAGAGGAATGTTCAAATTGCCTTTCTGAAATCAGAAAGTTAAGAACAGCAAATGACAAGCATTTAAATATTTCAAAATATTTTCTCCTTTTTTCTTAAGTGTAAGCATACTCCCCCAATTTGGAAGGCAAGAGCCACCAGGCTATGTCAGATTGAACAATACAGTACTAAACCTGCAATTTTGGTAGAAAATTGGAATGTTACAAATATAAAAGTCTGTAGAATAGTACAAGGTAGATGTGCTCAATACAGTTGGCAGAGATACTTCAAGATGCACAATTCCTCTGTGGAAGGGGAGCCAATTTAAGTTACAAAGTAATACACTATGAAGACCGTAAGAGAGTCGAGTTAGTACAATTGAGGTTTATAAAAGGAACACAATACAGCAAGGAGTAGCCCTCAGTAGGTTACAAGCCTCCGAATACAAAACTGGCAAATTCCAAGTGGATTCATTTCTATGCACACACAAGTACATTGTGCTCATTAAGTCAGCTTGTACCAAGCTGGAACTGCCTTGTGTAACTTTCTAAAGCTGACTTACACTACCTTTTGCACTTATCACCTATCCTGAAATCACAATAATAAAATTAAAAGGTCTATACCACTTTTATGATCTGTACCTTCTACCTATCAGTTTTCGTTTAGCATAAATCTAATTTCAACAGCCTACAGCTCTACAGCCAACAGTAGTATTGTCCCCTTACAATCCACTGCATAACTGATCACTGTGTGACCTTGCTTATGCATTACGGACTCGGAGTGTTGGTTTGAGGGTTTGGAGGAGGTTTTGTTGTGGGCTGTGGTTTGTTTTCTTTAACAAGCAAAACTTGGTACTTTTATCTTTCAGGGTAGTAAATGAGCAACTTAATTTAAGAACCAGTCTCTTTTCATACTTGTTAGAAAAACATACACTGTGTGTTTATATATATAACCAAATATACTGTGCATATATATATCTATCTAGAGATATTCACCATATTGTTGACACCAGAGTGCTAAAACATACATCAATATGAGCACTATATCCAACACTCACTATTATTACTTTTCCTGAACGAGTTACTACATGCATTTTTCCCATCCATTTATGGGACAGTAAGATACATGAAGACAATTGTTCTGTTTTTCCAACGTGAAAGAGCTGCGCCTGAAAAGCATGCACAGGTTTGGATATAAAGCAATCAAAACCACACAAAAGTTACTTTGTGGCTTTAAACTCACTAAAGCTAAGTTATCTTTGTGTTCAGTGGCTGTTCCATTTACTTTAACGCATTTAAACACAAAAGAGAAAACCTTCGAGTGATAAAACAACCATATAGACAACTTATAGGCTAGACTAAATAAATTCTTATTAAAAAAATATAATCACTGCATAGCCACAAGGGAGACTTTCATTTTTGGCAACCTGTATGCAAACCATTTATATTGTCAATTACACTTTAAGACTTGTTATTTAACAGTTAAGAGACCCTTTCAGCAAGGAACTATACTGCTTTCTTCAAAGACTTCATAAAGTTCTAATTTTTTAGTTAGTATATCTAAAGGCTGCCATTCAGGTAACAGAGATTATTTGGACCTGTAAAGGGTGTATTATATTCAATGCAAGCACGTTTAGGTTAAACTTCCACAAACATTCACACAGAACCTTACTAAGGGTAAAAGTATTCTGGTTTATAGTCATGGTTCACTGATAGCCTGTACCTGTTCCTGCATTGTTTTCTATTTTCACAGAAAGAAAACAAAGCGCATCCCTGTGAAGTATGGGAACCCCATTTTATGGCTAAGAATCTAAGAAACAAGGCAAGGAGGAGGAGAGCATGGAGTGAAAAATGTTATTTGTCTTCCCCCCACCCCCCCCAGCTAGCCCTGTAGGATCTTAATCATAACGCTTCATAAAAGTCTGAACTGACCCACATAGCCTTCAGCCAATCAATCTTTTCAGTATGGCAGGTTTTGAAAAGGGCCAGCAATACTCATTTGGAACAGTACCATTAACATTGCATTCAAAAAAAGAAAACATTGGAAACCAGATCCTTGCTCTCCTGCTCTGTTGATATGCTCTAGTATTAGCCAATGTATGGTAATACAAAAAGAGTCTTGTAGTGATGTAAAAGGCAATGAAGACGTCTATAGAATAATGTTCATGTGCAGCCAAAATGAAGAAGATTCCAAAGAGATTCAGGACCCAGGATAAGGTGTGCAAGAAGTTCCAGCTCCTTGGGGTATCTAGGAGAAAGCAGAAAATTATTAACTTTGAATGTCTCAAAAATCTGGGTCACTACAGAATCCAGACCTGGACATTTGATGTGTTTATAAAGATGTTTCATCTAAAAATGTCATGAAATTCCTGTCTTTATTTGGAAATACTGTATAGAGATCCTGTAAATCCAACCAAAACAACCACACAAATTATATATGTCTATCACTTCAGGACTTCATTTACAAATGCACTTCTGGATTAATACAGCATCCTAAAATGGCTTAGGATCCTTTGTTCAACCAACGTGTTTTAATGAAAATCAGCCATTTTCTACGTTATAAGGGGGAAAATGTAATGAAATATACATTACTGTGGTTGCAATCAATCCATCATAGGTCAACTCAAACTAATTATCTTTTCTTGCTGTATTATATATCAAGTCATACTTATTTACAGGAGAGTACGACTGTTTCATATATTCTCACACATTTTAAAGCTTGGTATTTGGACTTTACAGATGATATTAAACATATGGCCCCCTAGCCAGGTATTCTGGCTGACAGAGGTCAGTGGCAGATAACCAGGGAAGTGTATGGCAACAGACAGTTGTAAGTATCTTCCCCAGTAGCAAGCCAGAAAGCCTTTGTAATTTCTTGGCTCACACATTAATTCAAGTGCCCTATTCATCCCCTCATTAATCCAGGTGATGGTGTTCCTTTCCTGTTTGCAAGTTCCCTGTCACAAACCTGAGAAACATCACAGGATTCTGAATTTGTATTTGTTTGCTTAAATGTTACACTCTGAAATTTTTGAATAAGTGAAGGAGCAGATACTCTTTAATACTTAAGGACATTTAAATATTTACACTCTCACACCCTTGGCTGACAGCAAGCAGTATGTATTCTTAATACTTAGGGACATTTGATTATTGACACTCTGTACTTACATTCTGTGACAAAGAAGTTGAGCATGGTCAGGACGACAGTGTGCCCACTGAACATATAGTCTCCACAGGTGTGTACTCCAGTCAGAGTCATTCCAAAGCCACTCCATATTGCAAATGCCCGCTGGAGTTTTGCCCAAACATTGCCATACAACTGAAAAACAATGACATTAACCTTTACTAAGTTCCAATCCCACTGCCCAAACAGTATGTCCTTAAAGTTACTTGTATTGCACTACGTATGTTTAATACCATTTATCACGTTGTGCCTTTTATTAAAATGCAGGTTAGCACATCTTTGGATTGCTGTGGCAGTGAGTCACATTAGTAACTACAATTAATAATTGTATTCATCATACCTCTCATGAATACTGGAATTTGGAGCAAGTACTTTGTTGCAAGTGATCTACCTACAGAGTCTGCCAACTTTTTTTGAATGTATTCGGCTTCCCTATTGTCAAGCTTTCAATTTGTTCAGCTCAAACCTCTCCTAACAAAAAGTTAGGATGAAATCTTAAATCTCATGTTCTATGGAATATCCCTTATGAGAAGGGGTGAAATAATAATAATTTGTTGGGGTCTTTTTCAAAACCATACATACAACAAGACAAAGAAGTGATTACTAGCCTTTCTTCATGAAGTCAGTATCTTAAGTGCACGCCTTGGTGTATTTTCTCTGGTTTACACTGTGAAATATTCTGAATGCCCTTCCCCAAGTAACTGTATCCTCTCTGAAGTTGCAAGTGCTTCTAAGACCCCTAAGGATGCTTGCCTTCATATGGTAATCAATACAGAAGCATGGAAGGAAACAGGAGAGAAACATGTTGTTCTTAAAAAACGCACATCTAACACTATAGTCACAACAATCTTAAAATGCTCTAAATTGTGTTTTCTTTTTAAAAAAAACCTTATAGATATGATTAAGTTTTTACCTTTCCAGTACACTGCAAGTGCTGGCCTGGCACCGAGAGTGAGGTAACAAACATTGTAATGCAACGTAGTAAAAACACTGTCCCCATGAGGCTGCACATCCTGCGCAGGAGTATAGATCTGGGAAAAGTACACAAGAACTGGAACCAGGAAAGTTATGATAAAAACATTTCACCTCACCCCAGCTTAATCCCATGAAGTCCTTTCATCCCTGCTGCAAGTTTTACAACATTTTTTTAAAATAAAGTAGTACTGTCAAGAGATGGTTTCACATGACAGAGTGAGTCACTGTAGCAAGCTAACTTACCAAAAAGTACCAAAAGCTTTGGCACTCATACCTTTTGTTGGCAAATTGATAAAAATCAATAAACCAGTAAAAATTTAACTTAAAATATGTGTGCACACAAAAGTGTTTTCTACCCTCAGTGAAAGCAAACTGTGGAAATTCATTCTTTTGGGATTTTCTTATAGATAAAACTATTACAGTAGGAGAGTATAGACTGACAACTCTCTGAAAAAAGAAAAATATATATCTTCTGAAGGAAATTACTTGTAAGTATGGTAGAAAAGCAAATTCAGATTACTCCTTTGAAAGATTCACAAGTCATCATTCTTGATTCAGTCCTCCCTAATCCATTTTAACAGAGACATACTAGGAGCTGACAAGATTTGTACTGAATGGATACTCTCAAACAATCATTGTAAATTCTTGTTACGGTTCTTCCTCTGAATTAAAGTACCGGTTAATTTGGATTTTATATACTCTACCTGTGTTTGTGAAGCAGAAGAACCAACAGCCAAATGTAGCAAAGAATTACTCCACATACTTCAGTCATAGCAAAAGCCCATGGTATCCTAGGGACACTAAAAAAAAAAAGAATGGACAAAGCAAGAAAGTTAATACAAAGGTCTAATTTTTTTCCTAGTCTCAGTATTGAAAATAAGGGCATATAAAGTTCTATCCTCAAAACTAATTTGCATTCATCTGACAATAGTATAAACTACAGTCAAAAATTCTTTTGTTAGACTGAAACAGAATTTGAAATATTTTTAATTACATTATCTCCTCTCTGAAAATGTATTTCCTGCAGACATTTACACAGAATTCCCTGTCAGAGAAAATCTCTACTATGCTCTCCTAATTTACATATGTGATTTACTGACAGAATGTGTTCCATTGTTTCCCAACAACCTTTTTCATTCTGACACAAATTTGCATCATGTCAATTATGCTGCTTATGCTTGTAAGAATGCCATGTCGACACAATTCATGAAATGCTGCAAAGCCTAAAATCCTAAATACTTGTAATGAAGCAAAACTGCACAGAAAAGCATCAGGGCAAACAAATCTTTTGACAAGGAAGGCTAGAAGGTCTGCATGTAGTGATTATCAATGAAATTTTGAAAACAATTTTAAAAACTTTCTTTTACACACATGACACCAGTAAAAATTTCTATCCTGCAATCACCAAAATACAGATCAACAGATTTCAAGAGAGGCTGCTGCTTGTAGTTTTGTGCTCCCCGTGATACAAAGGAGCAGCAAAGAGCTGCTCAAATATGAGCTCTGTAGTAATCCCCTCTCATTGTTTTGTGAGCTGCTGCTTTCTGACGTCCCTATCCTCCTGCCCACTGAATACCACGGTAGCACCCTGGGAACAAAATAGCTCCTGTTCTCTCTTCGACTCTGCTGGATGTGGTACACCCTTGCTGAGTTAATATAAATTTAGGGGGGATTCTGCACACTTAGTCAAAAGATTAGACTCCTATTGACTTCTTGAAAGCCATTAATGAAAATGGAAATTACTGGTAGGAGTAAGGAGATCACAAAGACTGAACTTTTAAACAGTTTAGCTTGCCTTTTAAAACTCTCTAGGTAGTTACGTTCTCTGTGCTGCAAGTGCACTTCCTCAAAGGGAGCATTTATCCTTTAATTCAATAATCTGTAGGTAATGACTAGAATTTGACCTTTGCTATTGTGTCTCTTTTTGCCTGAAGTAGAATATTTTCTTTAAAAAACTGAGCAGGCACTGTATAAGAAAATATTCCTTCATCAAAAGTTTTTCTATATCAAGACACGTTAAGCTTCATAGCAACAACTGGATTTCAGAAAATGCATATGGCTGCCTATCTATGCCAGCTGACCATCATGCTTTTTAATAGAAAGTGAGGATGGATGAACTAATTCCTGTGTTGTGGTGAGCTAAAGATTTAAATTAAATACAAACTTGGTAGAATAACAGCTCAATTTATTTTCTCCTAAGACTAAATCTCTGCATCCAACTGAGGTGCATTTCAATCTTACCAGAATGATTTACTACACTCTAATTAGTATTTTGCAGAGGTGTCTTCTAGAGCAAATGGAACTTTGAAAACAGAGAAAAGACAGCCTATATTTTAACCATTGTTACTATTTTGTTTTAAAAGAAAATTTCTTACCTATCTAGAAATATGTCTGGTAGAGGTGGATATGTTTGCATGTCAGGTACTCGCTCATGCACTATAACCATAACGAATGATGTAAAGCCAAACACTATGAAAACATACACACAACTTAAAACTGTCTTCCAGTACTCAGGGTCCAGTCTCCGTGTGGCATGTTTGTTCTTTCCGTTTGCATACTGATACTGATCACCATTCAGGTCAGTCATTAGTCCATCATAGTCCCGAGGTACTTCACCATTACAAAACCAATCTGTACCCTGCAGTGAACCAGCTGGGCACACTGTGCCAATGTGATTGTCACTGTTGTAACCCAGCTCTTCCAGGACGTCAAGATGTTGCTTCTGCAGTTTGCGTATGGACAGCATCAGTCTCTTGATATCCCCCAGGACTTTGATTTCCAACGGAGGAGATCGCAAATCATACTCAGTAAGTGTCAGCAGTGTGATTCCATCTAGCCTATGTCTATTGCACAAAACATCCACATATTCACAGAAGCCTTCTTCCTTCAGCCACTTGGCCACATTCTTGGTAGTCCAACGTCGAATGCAAAGTTGGTTATTGCCTGCCATGGTCCTTCTTTATCCACCAATCAAACTGACCTGCTGATACCCGAGAAGGAGACAAGACCAGAATGTTTATCAAAGATTACTGAAATGACAGTGTCTTTTGTGCAATTTTAGATGCTTAATTAGCCCAAGACTTTTTGTATAAGAGACAGCTAAAACCCACAATTTCTTAGGTAATACAAAAATGCTTTGAAATTTTTTTTAATTCAAGCAAAACTAAATTAGGATTATCTCATTTGCTCCTATATAGAAATTTAAAGCTTAGAAGAAGTAGAATATTTCCTATACATATCTAGTACACTTTAACCATCTCTGAATTATTTATTTATTTATAATAAAATTATAAATTAAAATAGGCAATGAAAACCAAATACTGCTATGTCTGAATACCAGATCAATCACTAGTCTTTTCACCTGTTTGCAGTTCATCAACTATGCAAGAAAGTATAGCCACTAACCATGCAAAATTGAATTACAGCTGAAATAACACATTACTGGTCCAATATATTCCACTGTTTTAAAATATATACTGACGCTTTGGTAGCACGACATTTTCCCTCCATTCGCTTTGAAGTAAACCTAGATATCTACAATAATATTGACCTGAAGTGTCTTAGAAATATGATGGTTGTACCATCAGCATACAACTATCTTTGTTTGATCTCAGTAATTTAGATGCTTATTGTATTGTGAATCCTTTAAAATATTCAGCTTTCAAAAATAACATTACTAGAAATGAAGCATTTGCTTTGATTTTAAAGCATCTTTAAAAGTGATGTGCTAGTAGACAACATAGTAACACACCAAAACCAGAAGAGATGTATTTTTTTTCATACAGATTTCTCAGTAATTGTGTTCCTGAGTACAGAATAATGCTTGAAGGAAGGAGAGACAACTCAGCAACATTTTAGTCACATGGTGGTGACAAGTCGCCAGAACAACAACCAGGGAAAAGTTAACTACAGGACATTACGTGGAATACATGACAAAACTTTGAAAGGCTACCAGTGAAGTAAAAGTACTGAAAAGTTTATGAAATATTTAAGACCCACAGCAGTACAGAATGGATTTGTGCATAATTTATATTTGGTGGCTCATGCACAGCTACCATCTAAGAAACAGCTACAATTTCACAGCTCTTTTGTACTCAAAAAACCAGCCTAATTAACTAGAATGCTTCAATCATGCCAAACAAATCTCAGAAAATACAAGAGAGTACAATACACTAGTGTCACATGCATCATTCAAGGCTTTCAGAATGAAACCAAAGAAACAGTGTATTTAATCTATTATTTAGCTTCTGTAGCTTCTGTATATAGTAAACTGGTACTCAAACCCATAATGAATATTCAGCACAGTTCTATATCTTTATCAGGGACACAGCTCTTTCAAAAACAGCTCTTCTCACTTCTCTTTTTAAGGAGGTGTAGTACCTATTTTGCTCTTAATATAATTATTGGATACAACTTTTTCTTTTGGCTTTCATCTAACAGAACCACAAACTATTTTATACTGTATCAGAGAAGATTCAATTTGTTCAGTGGAATTTCCCAGCAGTGCAAAAGTAATATTTTAGAAGAAAAATAAGCACACAAATCAAACTTGTCCTTCTAAAATAATTAAGGGTGTGGTACTTCTCAAGATATTCTCTCAGGAGTGGATTGTATATTAACAACATGTACTTGATTCATAGCTTAAATTTCTCAAAACTCCATATACATCAATACGTATATAAGCTTTAATACCTTGATTTAAGTAGTTGCCAAAAATCCATAAAAAAACTACCAGAATATCTGGATATTCTATACTCTTCCTTCTCCATATAAAAAGGTATGTTCTCATTTTTATGTTATCTTACTATTTTTGAAAGTCTGGCTCAAAAGGACTGTAACAACTACTTTGCTCACACAGCTAGTAATAAAAGAAATTATTACATTTAATTTGCAATTACTAATCTGTTAATTGACCTTTTTTGTATTACATATTTTTATCTTACTTCAGGGTTGCTGTTTAACCCCTGGTGGCAGCTAGGTGCCACGGAGCCATTTGCCCACAAACAGTTTAACAATCAAGTAAAATATAATGAACGATTAAAATAATAAAAGAGAAACAACACACAAGAAAGACAAGTGATGCACACTACAATTGCTTACCTGGCAGAGCAGGGAAAACCAAAAATTCCTCATCTTAAGGTCAGCACCACTTCACAACAACTAAAATATCAGTGTGTTATCAATATTATTCTTATACTAAATCCAAAACATCCAGTAAAAAGAAACAAACTTGAGTTGCTTATCTGAACTTCCAACTTTCCCTACTCAGAAACAGAGATTAAATACTTAAAAAGAAGTTGTTAATCACAGTGGTTTTTATAAGAGTAATCATCACAAGTTTTCTAAATGCAGTGAACGTGGACTCACTACAAATACACTCAACTTACTGATTTGTCTTCTAACCAAAGCAACGTCTCAGGACAAAAGCAGGAAACTCTCCCTTTTAGACAGGTAGGGGAGAAGAATTCTGTTCATTTGTCACAAGTCAAGTAGCCTAACAACAGCCTTTTCTTTCTTCATCTGGCACTGCCAGAATAAAACCCTTCCAAATGTGCAATGAGCATATCCATCAAAGGTCACTATAGGCTGGACCTGGGAGAAAGTCTACATTAACCTCAAGATGCAGCTGATAGGACCAGCTCCTGCTTTTAAACCCTGTCAATGACAAGACCTTTAACCAGCGGGAGCAGATAAAGAAATCAACACAAAATACAAATTTAAACACACAGCTCATAACTAATTTCATCTCAACAGCAACAGTAAAGTTCAGTTTTGATGACAAGGCCATTTCTTAGAATACTGAAACAGCCTTCCCCTTCAGACTACTCAGTTAGTGCCACTTCCATACTTTATTAGGGGAAGTGCTTTTTACACTTCAATCTTAGCACCTGGAATACAATATGGATCCCTGTGTCCAATTGCTCCTGTTCATTTTTGAAGCTGAAGAATGCTACATAACATTTACAACACACACCAGACTAAGTCCCCTGGATAACGTACCTGTCTTCTGAAAGAAAAAAGCACTGGTAACTACCTTGCCTTCCCCATTACTGGTTTTATTGCTGAAGCCAAATATAGGATAACATTATTTATTGATGAGTAACACGCATGAGTAACACAAAGCAAGCACAGACTTAAGTGTCAGAGGGCAAAATATATGTTTCACTTGCCATCAGCAATGTCTGTATCCTGCTACTTGATTACTTTCCTGGTACTGTGACTTACACTTGGCAAGCTCATCAACAGTACGTAACGTGTGTCCCATTTTCCTTCCCCAACCTTTCAATTAAGAACATGAACACAGCTCAATATGAAGTGCATGTGTATAAGGATTAACTTTTTAAAAAGAAGAATGGTACTTTATGAGTTTTGAACATTCCTACAATTTGGTTAGGGCATTTTAAGAAATGAGATGCCTCTGAGAGGCTGAGTATACAAAGTATAGGTGTATATTTAAATATGGAAAATTAGCCTCTCTCAAAATGATTATCCATGATTCTATCATGTTTCTCTTTACTGATTTATTGCCAGTCCACTGTTAAGTCCCTAACTTTCCTAGCTTACAGACTTTGAGACAATATATTGAGGTAAAAATGCGGAAAGTTGACTCTGCTTATCACTACTCTAGCCAAGGAAAAATAGCATTAATATCACACTAACATAGGCTGCAAACTTGTTACAGAAACAAACTTTGATTACACCAGAATCACAGCTGAGCAGTTAAACATGATCCTAGTTATGTCCACAGCGGTTAGCAGAAAGTTGATTGGTTTTGTTTATTCCAGACACACATGCAAAACTCTACCAGTACCATTTACTGTTCCACCACCTACCCTCATATACCCTGGAGAGTCTTGCCGACATGCCTCTTGATTTTTTTTCCCCTAGTTTCAATTCCTACCATACTTGAGAGGAATTTTAGGAAGGATGCTGAAGAATATCAGACCTCAAGTGATTTAACTTGCATCTCTTTGTGGAAGGTTTCAAGCTGAAGTTTGAATACAGGCAATTCCAACTCAGCCTCTCTTTTGCTGGGTCTGCTGGTCCAAGAGCACATCTCACATCTCAGGGGAAAAGTTCCTCTGTGCCAAAGCTGCTGTTTTGCAATGTGGGCAAGACCCATGTTTGAGGCCTTGTTCCCCAGCACAAAAAAAGCTATACACAAAAACATGTGCTGAGCCAGCCTGCAATAGTAAGGCTACTGTCACATACCAACTTAGTAATGCTCTGCTGGAAAAAGAACACACAGCACTGCCTTGTTATGCAGCAAAAGTCTCGGCTACTCTGCTGACATCAGAAGCCTGTCACCTGTTCTTCCTGGAACATCTAAATTCTTCAATGCTTATTTAAAGCAAATAGCACCAAAGATTTCACTGCCATATAGCATACAGTGACTTAATCATTACCTTCTAAATGCCACTAGATATAGCATGGTATCTTATAAAAAAAAAAAGGATAAAAACAACACTTGCAAAAACAATACACAATTTTTCAAGATTTTTTAAATACAATGGTTACCATACTATATATAAAATCGATCAAACACAGCACAATGCCCACCATGAGACAGAAAAATTGGGTAGTCTCATAAAGTAAGAATTCAATGATCTCAAATGCAGAAATATTCCTGCAGCCTAGCACTAAGCATAGCACTAAGACCTTTGCTATCATAAGTAAGATTATCAGCAGTAGCTTAACTGTACTCAAAGTCACTAACTGAAAATGAATGCAAGATAAGAAGTCTCTTAAAGTAACCCTAGTTTAGTCTTGGGTTTTAAGCCATTGAGGAAGATGAGCTTTTCGAGAATTATTTGCTGGAGTGTAGCATGTGGATCAAATATTAGCTCTAGATGCTTAGCAGTCTTTCTGCACCTCCATGCAAGACTGATGGCAGCTACTACAGAAAGTCCTGAAAGGCAAACATATTTGTCTTGAGAACCACTAAGTGCAGTTACATATTGCAGCAAACTGAACAGCATGCATATTGCTCCCTTATTTTTACACTTCATTAAGCCATATAGGTTGTATTACACTCAAGTGAACACTAAGAGCAGCTCAACTCCTAATCTACTAACCAGCTAACAAAACATTTTTTATCCTACTGACATAATTCAAGGCACACACAAGTGATTTTTAAACAACTGATCAAGTACTCCACCACTTATCATAGCATGTAATTCACAGTATTTCATTAATATTTGTACAAGCTCTTGAACATTTCACATGTTAAATATCAGGTGTCAAGTACTTTGCCTCCAGCTTCAAGAAATAGAATATCCATCTTGTAACAGAATGTTGGCTGCTCTTTATCCCTACACAACTTAGTAGTAACACACCCCATGTTTGTTTTCCCCCTTTTCATCCCACACCCTCATCTCAGAATTGAAATGGGGGGAGACATGAACAATTTCTCCATCCAAATGAATACCAGAACAATATCTGAAGTGAAGCTGTTTGATCTTACTCTCCACAACTGTTTACCCCCTCATCTTTCTAGTCTAGTGAAAATCCAGTAGCCTTCCTCATTTTAGATGCATTAAAATAAATAAGAAATAAAAAGCTTTTAAAAGGTATGCAATTATCAAACAAACATACATAAACTAATATTGTTACTGGATCTCAACCAGCACAGCAGGCTGCAAAACTGAGCTCTGTACAAAGAAAAGTGATAGCGTAGACCCAGAAAGATTGCAAATCCTAGGCCAAGCTCTGTTTTTAATTGTATTCTACCAAAATAACACCCCAACCAGCCAGTAAAAAGATTTTATAGAACATCAAACCAGATAATTTAGAATTCTTGCACTTAACTAATCTACAAAACATTTCCTTCACATCTAAGCGGCACCAACACAACAAAAGTTTATAAAACTTCCCAAAGAAATTCCTTCCACTTAGTATAAAAATCACCTCATGCTAATCGTGCAGGTTAATTCTACCTTTTCTCTGTATCACAGAAAGCAAAAGGAATAACAAGACCACAGGAATTCCTTTACCTCTGATATCCAGCAAGAGGCACTCCTTATCAAACACGAGGGGCACTTAAATGTCAAAAACTGTCGTCAGCTCTTGCCACTCCAGAGCACAGCATGATCAGCTGCTCTGTGGAGGCAGCACAGGCTCCGTGTCCAGCTGCACGAGGGATCTCTGTGGCCACAGAATAGACCTGGCCAAGTGGAATCTTCCATCAAGTCATCTTACAATGCAGAATGCGTGTTGCATTCTCATAAAATTAATTTTGCAAACTGAAGCCTCAAATACAAAGCCATGAAACTTCTTACAAACCGATAAACACGTGAATATTAAAACTACTTGTCATTTGCCACTTCTTCCATTAACTTACTGAGCTGAAAAAATCTACCCTTTTGAAGTTCTTGGGTTTTTTTTAAATAGCAATCAGCAATGACTAAGTGACTGGTTTGAGGCCACCTAATACATTAGCAATATAGATTTAAGGGACTGAGTATTTCTGAGCACGCTCAAGCCTCAAACTCTCACAAAACCTGTCCCCCAAAGGCAGACCCCTCCATTTAATCCTGAAACTTGAACAGCACACATGCAAACCAGTAACAGCACTTTTCCACGCTTAAAAGCATTTTTACTCAGTACTAAACACTTCGCCCTCAGAAACCCCACCAATTTTACAGAAAAAAATAGTAAGACCGCTGAGTATATGTTTTGAACCCGGTCCAACTGTTTGGTTATCTGACTGTACGACTGACACAAAGCATCATTTCCAGGAACGATCTGTTTGCTGCGCAGGCTGACACGGGAATCGGAGCCCACAGGGTTCGCCGGACCCCCAAACGAACCGCACAGGGGCCGCATGGCCAGGCCTCCCCGAGCTGTGCCCCGGCGCCGCTCGGCACCCCCGCGGGTCCCTGATCACCCTCACACTCCGTCTCCTGTTGAGGCTTACAAAGTTCAGACGGAATCCGAGGGCTGAATCCAAGCACTGAACACTTCACCCGAGCACCGCAGGACATCCCCCCAGGCGCAGGCTGGTCCCTCACGGGCCGGCCCGGAGGGCCCGGCGGGCGGTCAGACCCCGGCGATGTGCCCGGCACCGGCGCGCAATCACGGCCGAGCGGATTTTAGTGCGGGCAGACGGCACAGGAGGCTGGTCCCCCTCCCGCCGTAGGCGAAGCCTTTCTCCTCCAGCACCGCCCCTGCAGCGGTGCAGCCTTCCCCTCCCGCAGCCCGGGACGCGCACACGGGGGCAGCAGCCGCGGCCCCGCCGGGCTCCCACCGCGGGGCGGCCCCGGCCCCGGCCCCGCGGGCGCAGCCCCCGCCGCTGCCCCGCCTCACCTGCCGCTGAGTGCCGGGGCCGCGGCGCCCGCACCCGGCGCGGCGGCTCCTCCGCGCCCTCGCCCTCGCTGTCCCCGGCGGCGGCGGCGGCGGCGGCCACCGCCACCCCCCATCACCGTCCGGAAGCGGCGCCGGGCGGCGGCGGCGGCGGCGGAAGGGGCGGGACGGGCCCGCCGCGGCCTTTCCGGAGCGGTGCGGGAGGGTGGAGGTCTGTACAGGGTTGTTTAGACGTCGTAAATCAAGTGAATAAGTAATCCCCTCAGAGACCAGCTGAAGGGAGAAGCAAGGGTGTCTTGCGCATGCTTAGACCAGGCTAAGGGAGTTGTTCTCCTGGAAGATACCATAGCATATTTTTTTCCCATATGATCTTTCTGTCCATCACTGGGAACTTAGTACAGCCTGGATGTGAGAAAGACACTAAATAGGATTTTTTTTTTTTGAGAGTAAAAACATAGAGTGATCCTGACAAAATTTAAAAAGCCACCAGTGCGGTAATGAAGAATATCCCCATCTTTCGTCTAAAGGCATGTGTGAGGACAAAATAGCAGAGAAAATTTACAGGAGCCTCGTCCTGTCAATCCTCATATCAATCACTGAAAAACTGTTCAGTTGCAGCATTATTCTTTTCTGATGCCCATAGGAAAAATAAAACTGCAGCTGGCTGACAGCACTCACTCAGTCATTTATCTACAGTGATCCACAGCAGAGATGTGAACAGCTTAGATGACTTAAAGCTCCAGCAAGGCATTGTAACTTCAGGAGTTCCATAACCTAGAAATAATACAAATGGAGAGGATAGAAGGAGACAGACAAATTAGGAAAAAAATGGTCCAAAATTAAATTTATGTTGCGTATCAACTGACTGTGGTAGCAACCAGCCCTTTACAGCAGTTTTCAGAACACTGAAATTTGCTTTGTTGATGATGTAATAAGTATGAGGTCCAAGACAAGTCTAAGTTGTAGCTTCAGTAGAAGTCAAAAGCAGGTGCCAGCGTAGCTCCATTAAGTTAATGACATTAGCCTTTTCAGAGAATGTGGCCTTGTGATCTGTATTCTAAATGAAAAAAAAAAAAAGGATCTTTCGCAGTGCTTATATGCTGCTGTAGTGAAACAAGGAAATTTTACATTTCGAAGTGCTTCAAAACTGCATCAAGTTGTCGTCATCGAGCAATCTAATGCAAACATCCGCTGTTGTACAATCTCAGTTGTAATGGGCTATATACTGGATATGCAGATAAGAAACAAGCTGTGAGAACTTCTGATTGTTTCCACGTGGCCTGATATTGGTTGTAAGGTGCATATCTCTAAGCAGTCTGTTCTGTCCTACTTTTATTTTTTTAAATGATGTGGTTTCCCAAAATAACTTGCTGAAATTGGAGGGAATGTTCCACTTTCGTTGCCAGTTTAGCAGCCTCTGCAAACAATGTAGGAATCAAGTGTGATTGCAGCCCTCAAAATGTTCCCCTTCTTTCTCCTTTTGATGTGAAATTTTCCCTACCAACTGCCAGTTAAGCACAACTTTTTGCACACTTCCAGGTCCTAAGTTGGTACAATTTACAATACATTGCAGCCTTTGCTTGTATCTGAGCAACTCGTATGAGCTAAAAGTGTAAAAATAAGCACAAACTGAAAATCTAAAAATTGCTGCAAAAGTAATTGTAGCAGACTGCAGGGCTGTCTCATCATGGAATAGGTCACCATGACAGTGATTGAAGCACAGTCCTGAAGCTAAACTCACCTTTCAGGTTCTCACTCTTAGCCTTCTTATGGGAGGTGCCAGGAAACTGCTGCTTTGTTACAGCGCTATGGCTTTGTGATGTGGTTTGGTGGTTTTTTTCTTCTAAACATGCACAAGAGTCTACCAGCTCACCAGATTCCAGGAAGGATACAAAAACGAAAGCAAAAGTTTCCTTACCCTGTTTCCTACAGAGTTTATAGCAAGACCAGCAACCCAACTAAAAATTACTTCCCAAATTCAGTCTATAGACTTCAGAAGTCAAAGGCTGGACGGTCAGTTTCTATCCACAGTTATCATTGCTAATGGCATTTTTCTGTTCTGTCTAGTTTCATCACCTAACAAGTATTTTGAAAATTACCAAATTAGCTTGCACAGAAAAGTAATAAATAGCATAATTTAAAACATGTAACTCTTAGATGAAAGTAGACGTAAATAGCTGCTTAGCTGCTATACTTCAAAGCTGAAAACTACTTCTACTTGCTAACACTTGAAGTTCTTTAAAAGGGTGAATTATCCAAATACTTTGTGCTTTATTTAACAGAAATTTCCAATAAACCTCATTCCTTCACTTTGAGTTATGTCACTTCATGCCATGTGACATGAAGGCATTGATGTAAGTTTGACAGGCAGTGCCAATGCTGACATGTCAGTTTGAGAATTTATGACAAACTCTATGCTACAGATCCTTTTAAAACTACTATGGATTGCCAAGATAAAAAAGTCTTTAAATTGTGCATCTTTAGATTGAAAACAATTTATTCAATTCACATAGTTAGATTGATTTCATGTTCAGGCTGACACTTAATACAATAAAAGAAAGGAAATTTATATTGAAAATTTCCAACTAGCTCAAGTTACAATATATTGTAGCAAAGGAAAATGCGATGCATTAATGTAATGTTTTGTGGTTTTTTTAAACACTGTCATTAAAGAATACTGATAGCATTTGATAATTTGAAATAATCTATCCTAAATTTTAAGACCCTACATGAGAAAGAAAGGCCTCATCTGAACAGAGAAAGAATTGCTTATGAAAAATCTCAGCCAGCAAAGAACACAATATGGCAAGGAGAATGTCTTTCACTAGAAGTGCTAATTGATCTAAATCACGCTCTTTTCTTTTTTCTGGGCTGGAGGGAGTGTTGGTTTGGTAATATCATTTTTGCACAGATCAGGTCCTGCCCTATAATTTCTTTGTAATCTACCTCATTTGAAGAATACTTCAGTCAGTCATGTGTGAACTTTCAAGCATCTGTTTTTTCTTCAAATTTTCTAATTCTGTAATGGAAGAGAAATAGATTGGATGCCTAAGGGATAATCAAAGTAGTGAATCACAATCATTTTTCATAAAATGAGCTTATTAGAGGAGGAAAAAAAAGGGGGGAAGAATTAACTCTTTGTGATCATCAGACAAAATTGTTTCACGTGTTCAAAATACATTAGTGTTGTGGAACACCAGAAAACCGTCTCACTTAGCATTGACCAAAATGTACCAGAATTCAAATAGTTCAATCCTTCTTCAATAGTTAGCCGTCCCAAAAATCAAATCCTGTAAACAGGCTGATGAGTGAAATAAGATCTTTTGCAGGTGGAGATACTGTATCAATAGAATCCTAGCTAGCTGAACTTCTATTCTGTAACGTTTTCCCTGTAAAAGCTTTCTTCTTTCAGGATATGTGAAAGGAGCCTGATTTTGGCCCTGTTTTCATTAGAGAGATGGAAAGGTGTCACAGGCATGGCATCAGTTAGAACTGAAGCATTAATTTCAATAGAAGAAATAGAAAAGCTACCATTAATTTCTTGTTCTCAGCTGCTGCACATTTTCCCGATAATTCCGATGCCGCGGGCTACTAGAGCGCTCCATGGCAGTTTACACTGTTGCCACCTAATATGTTATTAGCCATCAAATGTTTGATTTAGATTATTCCGGCAAGTACTACCTACAAAGTAATCACCAAGGCATAGTCCAATTAGCAGGATACCTTGTATTGCTTGTTCTGAAATTATTCACGCATTAATTTCAACTGAGACAGCAGCTACTACTCATATATAATTAGACACAAATGTTTGGTTTAGAGCTGCCCACCATCCCAACAGCCAGGAGAACCTCCAAATTCTTAGAATCTCAAAAAGTGTCTTCTGCACAGAAAGCTAAATCTGCTTCTATTCTGTGTGGCCACATATCAGTTTGTTGCTTTTTACATCCATTCTTAGTAGATTTAAAAGGTCTGGGAAAAAAGCACAGATTTGAGAGGCAAATGTATCTAAAAGCCAGATCTCTGCCTCCTGTCTGTTTCAAAGGCAACTCCTGGCTAAAAAAGGTCAGTAACACAGCTTTCCCAAAGCCATGCTTGCAGACTATTAAATGCTTAGAAGATGTTAGATGTGGAATGCCAGTGTTTTGAAGCAGATGACTGCATGCCATACTAATGTTGAGGGCACACAGGACTCGGAGAACATTTTTCTGGAGTTGATGTTTTTCTGTTTGTCATCTCTTAGGCTGCAAATGAACTTTGAATTCTTAGAGCATTTGGGGTAGATGCCAATAAAAGTTTTGCAGCAGAAAAGGGATAAACTTAAATGTGAATGTCACAAATGTATTTGACAGAACTTGATTGGCAACAAATGGGCTGGGCTTACATTTAAAAAAAAACAGATAGTAAAGCCTCACCTTGAGTCTCCACCCAGAAACCTGAGAAAAGTAAACTAAATTGAACAACTTAACTTGCTCAGTCAATTTTCCTCATTCTTGAGCAAAAATCAATCAGCTTAAAAAGCACTAGTTTAGTAAAGGAAAAAAAGAAGCGCAAAACAGAAAAACAAGGTAACACACTACAAGCAATATGTACATGCCCTTAATATAACTTCAACCATTTTTCCAGTCCTCTCCTCTGCTGGATCTGACCAGCTGATTGCCTCACAGCAGAGCCTGATTACCTGTCCCACTGCCCCCTCTAAATAAGCACTGCAGCGCTGTTGCTTGTAGTTTCCTTTATTTTACCTTTTAGGTCAGAACACATATGGCAGGGGGAAGAAACAAGTCTCTTTATACACAGGATGCTCTTAAGCAGTTTCTTCCCTAAATCCAAAGAATATTAGTAATTTCTGCTTCATGGGATATTCTACACAAAGTCACTTTCTTTTCTCTTCTTGCAGGTGACTTTTGCCCTGTGATGCTGGAAACTATAGCATTGCATTATGGTTATCTCTCACCCTGATACTCCTAAGCATAGTTAATTAGTCCAGACTTTAATATCCAGTTTGAAATGGCTCTCCATGATATGCCTCTTGATAAATTAAAGCAAGCCTTCTCTCAATCGTAGTATATATAAATGCATGTAGAATAAAGATGGCTCAGACCTGACCATTCTTTTCATTCATTGCCCTTTTTTCCACAGGGGATACTATCAGCAGCAAGCTTCTCCTCTTGAGTCACCTTCTCTTGAGGACTGCCTGGCTTACAGAGAAAGAGCATCACTGTTTCATTTGTTTTGCCTTGTAGCTCCATCACTGACAGTTTTACAGCCCCCTGCCAGGAGTGACACATCCTGCAGACCAGAAGGACAAGCACCATTGTACTTCAAAGGGCCCACTAATACTGCAATTTGATATGATGGGTCTCTAACCTGTGGCTCTCCAGACCTTCCTATATAAACTAACTCCGTGGCTCACAAGTTTCACCTGAAAACCATTATACTCACGGTCTTTGTTCTCTTTTCAACAGAGGGAGGTACCATGCAATACGTGGCAGGTGTATTGTGTTAACACAGTGATGAAAGTAGTGACTGCAATAAAAAATATTAAAAATCTGAAGTACAGTTAGACTCAGATAATTTTCCTTGGTGAAAACACAGTAACTTCAAGAAATAAATTTCTCTAGATTATCAGTAATAAGCAAGACATAATCATCTGCTTGGTCTTTAACCTCTTGGTGACCATATTGGTAGGACCCACTGGTGCATTTCTGACCCTTTCACAGCAATGGTTTTAAGCATCTCAAAATAAATGGCAGACAGTTGTTAATGGGACAGAGTTGCCACTCTACTTGCACTGGACAGGTTTGTATTTTTCCTTTATCAGGCCTTCAGTTGCTTGTGATGAATACCAATGCTCTGCCGAGGACGTGACTGGGGACAGTCACAGCCATGTGCTGGGGGGTGTCCTGCGGGCAGGGGCTGCTGCCACATGGCTGATGTGCCCGGTACCAGGGCTGCTGTGCGGCTCTGGGGACGAGCCCTGAGAAGCGGACTAGAATAAGTGAGGACCCAGTAATGCCCAGTTTGGTCCCTGCATCTGTCAGAACTGGCTGTGCCGGTTCGGGTACTGCAGAGGCGAGGGGCCAGCGCTGGGGAGGGGGCCCGAGGGCGGCTGCAGCGCAGGGAAGGCCTGGCTGCTGGCACAGGCTGGCTGCCGGCACCTGCCCCAGCCCATCTCCAGCCCATCTCCAGTCTCCCCGTGACCGACCGGGGCTGGCAGCGTCCCAGCGCCCAGCGCCGGGACTGCAGCCGGGGTAGCGGGGTCTCTGCCTGGCTGCCAGCATGTCTGGGGCGGAGGTGCTGGACACCCAGGGACCTGCAGGCGCTGCGGAATGCACGGGGGACGTCCCCTCTCTTAAAGAAATCGAGCAGCTCCTGAACACCGGACGGCCCTCTTGCAACCACGTTGATGAAGTATGGCCTAATCTCTTTCTAGGAGACCTGTAAGTACAGCTTTATGGACACACCTCTGCCATGCCCTCTGTCTGTTAGTATGCCTCATGGGTGCGGCTTTAGGCAGCTCATAGTTTTGCTAATTGCTGTCATTTACACTGCAGACAGCATGATTTCCGAGATAAAATTATGACTAAGCTACCCTTAGAAGCAACGCACAGCCTGATGCTCCACCCTGGGAAATGCGGTCTCACAGTGCTCCTCCTGACCTGTGAATATCACTGCACCCATTTGACTTGTCTTTGTCTTTTCCTTAGAGTAACAGCTCACAACAGATTTGTTTTGTGGAAGATGGGTGTGACCCATGTTTTAAATGCTGCCCATGGTACAGCCTACAGCCACGGAGGCCAGGACTATTATGGAGCGACCATTCATTATTATGGTGTCCCAGCCCATGACCTGCCAAGCTTTGATATAAGCCAGTTCTTTTTCTCTGCAGCACAATTTATCCACAAAGCCTTGAACACACCAGGAGGTATGAAATTATTGTCAGTCATATTTTGATGCAAGTTGGCAGCCTCTCATAACAGATCAGCTCCACAAGCTCAGTGGTGGACAAGTCACTGCATGGTGTCCTGCTAGCTGCTGGTTACCTGCACAGGGGGTGGCAGGAGGAGGGAGTGCTGTGTACATGGAGGTAGCTCTAACTGGGTTCCAAAAAGCTTATGTGAGAAAAGAGATGAACAGTGCAGGAGGGAGACTGGCATGGAGAGGGGAGGAGAGGAGAGTATCTGTAAGGAAAGGCTCATTCAAAAAGGGAGAATCAAACTCACACATTTAAAGTTAACACCCTCTTTTGAGACCCTTTTATAGGAACTGTACTTATAAGAACAAATGAATATAGAGACAAAAGTCCTGATTTCTACAATCACCAACCGTATGTGGACACTCGTATATTGCAGATGAGCTTCTTGTTTGAACATTACCTGCAGGGCTGTGTCCCCAAGGATAAGAATTACCTTTACCCAAGGAGATTTATAGTGAATTGCACAAGAAACTGAGTTTCTTGGCAGTGGTACAATAAAATACTAATTACCCTGTTTTACATAAAAGATCATTTCTTAGCATGAGTAAACTGGCATTAATGGACCTGTCTCTGCATCACAAAAATTTTTTTTGCCTTCAAAATACACTTATATTGCATCAAATTGCCTTATTATGCAATGGTACTAGGCCAGTCATTTTTCTTGTGCTAGTGCCATCCACTCAGGCCAAATTTTAGCATTCTTCTTCACCTAAGTAAGCCCTCTGAAACCAGTGGGTCTGATTTTCCTCCTTCTCACAACAGAACAACTTAATTACTTCAACAGGGTTTTCTTCTGTGATTTGCCAGTGTTTCTGACATCAGGTGGGGATCTCATGGCACTTCTTATACAAGTGAGTGTAACAATGGCAAATTAGAGTTGTTAGCAGTTCATGTGATCTATCAGAAGGGTGAAAAATACATCATGTTTGCAGTGTTACTCTAAGCTGGAGAAGGCAGAAGGGCTTTGCCTTCCCTTTAAATTAAACTTTGTCCACTGTACTGCTTCTCTTCCCTGGTTATAATTTTTAAATTTTTTTTTTTACCAGCTAAAATATTGGTACATTGTGCAGTTGGAGTGAGCAGGTCCGCTTCTCTGGTCCTGGCATATCTCATGATAAATCACCACCTCCCATTAGTTGAAGCCATCAAAACAGTGAAGGAGCATCGATGGATTTCACCCAATCGTGGCTTTCTGAAACACCTGCGAAATCTGGATGTTCAGCTACGGCAAAAGAAAGACTGCTGACTGGGCAAACCTATTTACATTCACTTCACTGAGTTTAAGCCTTCATAATCATTGTGCATATACCACTTCCTATGATCAGTGCCTGTTACAAAAATGAAGAAAAATATTCATCAAAGGTCAACAGAACTGTAAATGGATTAATTTTGATAGCTCAGTTCCTCCAAGACCAGCACAGCCAACATCAGCACTGTAAACACTGTGTGCTGTGGAGCTGCTGTGCCTACAGTGGTGCTACCAGATGAATCCACTGAAGTGGTTAAGATGGACCGAGTTTGTTCCTGGTTTGTGCTAATGCCAGAGGAAAGTTCAGTAATTGCATCTGGCTGTAAAGGATGTTTGAGTTGCCTTTACTTGAGAGGGTAACATAGTCATCTTCATCAGTTTAGTTACAGTTCTCATATGCATGTTCTCGAAAGAAGAGCTTTTTGTGTTTCAGGCCTGGTTATGTGGCAAGGGCTGTTTCTTAAGAGCCCAGGGACTCCTACAGAAACATTCCTCTTTCACTGGTCTGCTAAATATTACAATGCTACAGAAAGCTGTGACAGCCAGAAGACCCACACCAGCAGAGTAAATGTCTATGAAACTCTCTGCAGTCTGTGTCAGCAAAACCACAAATCTTTTCTTGCTAAATAGGTTTTCAGCAAGATAATGTATATCATGCAGTATATTGAGGACATTAAAAAATGTCAGGTCTCTGAAGCATTTTGTAAGCTTAAACTCATCAGTTTGTTCTCACTCCAAATTATCCCAAATCAGTTCTGTGTCAGTGGCTTTGAATCATCCATGGTTTAATATCAGGTAGAAGCTTAGCTTACATCAGTGGTTTGGCTTAATTGATACAAATTAGTTTTAAGCTGTTTTCAGGATGTCACTTTTCCTATCACCAGTTAATCGGTACTTAAACCGACGTGATTTTTAATACAGCAACTGCATTTGAAATTCATGCTACCACTCTGACTCAAAATTAGCTTGTTACCTTGTGGTGAACCATGAAGTGATAATCACATTTGGTTTTGCCATTTGCCACTGGTTTGATTCATTGATTAGTTGACCTTATAAAGATTCTCTGCTAGATAAAGTAAATACATTTCTGCTTCTTGTTTGTTTGCATTTGAAGCTTCAGTTCTGATAATTTCTTCTCTGCTGGAAGAGACTTGCAAGGTCATTAGAAGACTAAAATAGTGATGACTTGTGAGTTGAACCTCTTCCTTCCCAGACCCCATATTATCCTTAATTCTTAGAGATGTTATGACATGAATGCTGATTCTGCTTAGGATTTATGGGAATTTAGAAATCTGTCCCTATTTCACTGTACACAAGTGCTTTGCAAAATAAGCATATTTAAGATTCTTCCAGACATCAATTTGACTGTTCAGATTTTCCTAAACCTTGCCAAAGAGCTTCACTGATGAAAGAAAGATAAGACATTGTCATGTAAAAAGATCAAATAGGGAATCACATTTAAAACCCAACAGCAGTGGGACAATCTTTATACCTCCCAAAGAAGCAGAGTGCTGGAGGAGGAGCTAGGTTTGCTTTGAAGTTCTCCATTAAAATTAATAGGGATTTACATGAGTTAATATTTCATTATAATTTATACTTCATTCACACTACAGTAGGTTTTAGTCTGGAAACCTTTTGAAGACATGGCATTGAAAAATCTGAAACTTCACATGTGAGTGAAATAATGCATCTTAGTGGCTTTAGGCTGGGCAAAATTAGACATGTGAGCAAGATTAATGGAATCCCCCCATCAGGATAATGCTTTGCATACCCCTGAACATCTGTCCTACAAAGCCACAGCTGTGAAAGCTGCTCCTGTTGTAAATTAGTACCTGCTCTTGAAGATACTGCTCATCCTGGGAGAGTATTGTTTCAGCAGGGGTAGAGAAGAGTACAGAGCAAAGCTGAGTCAGTAGGGCATCCAAGCCACCAATGACATGGTAGTGATCTTGTAAGCAAGACTTACCTCAGTGGAGAGAATGAACTAATGCTCTTTTCAAGGGCACTAGCAAATCACAGAAGTGTTTTTAATCTGTGGAGTCAGCGTTGCCTATATTTCCCATCTGTCTGCGTTGCTCCCTTCCTTATACACAGATTAACTTTGAATCCAGGTTTGTTAGGAAAAAAGATTCCAGTCAACATAAGCAAAAGCAGAAGAGTTAGCACATCACAGCAAACAGTGCTTTCTGGTTTAAGAAGTTACATGACCAAGAGGAAAAGGGACCTCCTCACCTGTTACTTACACTACCCAAAATTCAAGTCATACTGTGATATGACATTAGCACTTCACTTCTTTCCACTATCAGCATGAAAACTTACTTGTATTTTGAATGTTGGTTTGGCAAGTTAAACTAAGGAACCAAAACAAAGGAAAAATACTTCCTCGCCAGTGACACGTCATTCAGAAAAATGCACAGTTGTCAAGAGGGTCTACACAACCCAGGAGAATAAAGGCACTGAAATTTAACTTCTGACTGAGGGAGAATTCCATTTGGAAAGATGTTTAAATACCTAAACTGGGTACCTGCTGAGCTGGCCAAAGCACCCAGGCCCATGCAGCAGTGCCTGCATACCCTTCCAGGAGCTTGTAGGAACTGTCAGTCCTGGTGGGCCTTCTTCACCAGGAGCTGATTATCTTCCATCTCCTCTGAAGCTACAGGTGCACAGGCCTTCCTGCCCCAGGCTTTGTAGGACAGAGATCCATTCAGGTTACAAAATACTTAGAAACTCCATCTAGATCAGGAAGCTCATGAGCTGCAGCCAGATGGAAGCTGGGAGAGCATTAGAAAGCAGTGTAATTCATACTTATGTGTTCTTATTTTCTATAGGCATCCACTTACATGCAGTTAGGATGCACAGGATAGTGGGTGCAGTGAACCCTGGTAAGGCTCAGGACAGTTGCTCTCATGATCTTTATTTTGAACTCACCCTTAAGATGCGCTATCTGCTCTTTCCTGGTAGTTTATTATTAGAACTGGGTCACATGAGGCATTTGGGACTGTGTCTCAGTTGCATTGACCGACATTTCTTTCCCAGGGAAAGCTCTATGCTGGCAGGAACAGCAATACAGCTCATGTGGGGAGGGGAGTAGCATTTTTTTGCATAAGATTCAGTTAATGCAGAGTTTTCATTTTTCTGGCTGTTGCCCATTGCATGAGGGATGTAGCGCTGAGCTAATCCAGGGAGGCGTCAAGGCGCGTGCTGTATTTAGAGTCAGCCACCTGCTTGGAACATCAAGCAGCGGCAAAGAGCCTGCTTCAGCAGAAAACTGCCCTGTGGGTCCTGCAGCAGCACCTTCCAGCAGGCCTTCCTCTGCCTAAATCTGCGTGTGGCCTCCGAAGGGGTCAGCGCCTGAAGACAGTCAGACCCTGTCAGCCTGGGAATGCTCTGAGGCTGGCACTCCCTCTGCCCAGGAACTGCCAGAGCTGCAAGGTGGAAGTAAATCACGTGGGTGAAGAGTGGCCTAATCTCTACATAGGCAATATGTAAGTGTTATTTGAGGCTGAGCTGTTCTGAAGGGCTGGGAAATACAGTACTCGTTAACATATGCTGTCCAGCTTTATTTAGTTAGCACTGCTAAACTTCATTGCCTTAAAATAGACTTAAGATTAGCATTAGAAGAAATCAAAAGGATGATTCATTAAAGAACCCACTCAACAGAAAATTAATTAAAAAGAGAATTAGACTCTATTGTTTTGCATTATTTTATAATTGTTCAAGATATAGATTTTATAAATGCTGCAGCATTTACCATATAAAGCACAAGACAGACAGACTCATGATCCTGAGTAGCCTTAAAATTGAACAGTGATTGGTTTTACCTTTTTTGGTTTAATTTTAACTAGAATGGAAATTTTCACATTAAAAAGTATTTTGATTTTGGTTGTTTATATGATAACTTGATTTGCAGTTGAAATTTCTAACAAAAAACAATACGAGTGTTCTGAATGACAGCAGACTCCATTGTTTGTTTTTCAAAGCTGTATAGATAGATACTTCACTTATGCAGTCATCTGCACTCAACATGCCTAGTGCCTGATGTTATGCCAGAACAAGTTTTTTTACCACCAGCAGGCTGCAAACTTGTTACTTGGAAATTAAAATTACAATAATTCCTACATGAGAGAAGCAGGAGGAACTAACAATCCTTTGGCTAACTGCCCATTGATTACAGCTAAAAGTGGGCATTCTTTTAGCTATGAAAAACAAAGCCAAAAAAATGAGCTAGGTGATGGGGAAATAATTTGCATTTACAAAACTTGGTTTTACAAATTGCAACCTGCTTGCCAATCTCAGTGTGCTTCTAATGAGGAGTGTGACACCCTGCAGGTGGGCCCAGCCAACAGGGGCCCTGGGTGTGGAGAGGCAGAAGCCAAGACAACAACATGAACTTCACTGAACTTCTGCCTTGGCAATGAGAGTGGGAAACCAACCTTGGCTTTTCCAGTTAAACCTTGTAACTGTACTTGGAAATTAAAGTTTTACCTGTTAGAACCATTTGGATTTGTATAATTGAGCCCAACGGGTAGTAAAAGCAAAGATTTAATACAAAAATCACTGAAATTGTGCTGTCTTAACACCAACATTCAATTTTAGTCTTCTAAGTGCAGTTTTAGGACCTCTTTTTAATGGCCATGAGTATATTTGCTCCAAACTATTCTTGGATGTTTATTTCAATCACGTTCTGTCTCTTGAGGGAAAAAAAAATTGTTGGGGAATAAAATGTAAAACAGTGAATGTACATGAAGAAAGGAAAAGATGAACTTTGACAACATTCAGCTAACAGGAATAAAAATGTAAACAGGTTTGTTTGCTAATGCAACAGCTGATCTCTAATACCTGCTTAAATACAAGCTACAGACTGCAAACAGTGAAACTGGAAGTTGATCAAGTGCTACAGACAGAATTTTCTTTATTTTACCAACATCAATAAGACAAATATGAACAACACCTTAGAATAAGGTTTCGTGTGATCTTCATGAGATAGAAATGGGAAATAGAGTATTAAATTAATAATTAAATATTTGCATTTAGGGTCCAACCCAATACTCAGTCAAGTCAATAAACAGTGGATGTTTCTATCACTGAGCAAACCCATGCCAGCATCAGGACCTGTGCCAGAGCTAAAGTAACCCAAAGCAGTATCATACATATATTGTCACTTCTTGTTTCTGTGGAACCAGTTGTGTGCAGTTTCTGAGCAACTACTTGGAAATCAAAGATCAATCTAGAATTAATGCTGTATTTTATAAGAAATATTTCTCCTTATGTGTTTATCAGAAATCTGATGATCAGTGTCTTTAAACAAGTTAAATTTCTCTCATGAAATCAAGTGGGGAAGGCTGACTTTACATGATGACCTTCATCCTGGAGGACTTTGAAGTTGTCAACAAACTGATTATTAAATATTTGTCTGGCTATCAGCTTTTGTTTATATGCAAGGCCAAGGCCAAGACTTTCTGGGTTTAAATGTAAAATGTTTTTTGAAATACTACATAATAAGTGACTGAGGGCACAGTATGTTAAATATTCTGCAGAAATCAAACCTCATGCTGATCTTAAGCAGGCAGGTTTATTACTGGAGTTTAGCCAGATTGACAAGGCTCATATCATTTCAGCAAAGAAACATCATACAGAGTGAGGCAAAATGGTTACAGGCTGGGCTAAAACCTTGTGTATTCTTTCAACATACATGTTTCAAGTCCAGTGATAGGAGGACCTGAGCTACCTCCTGAAGTGCCTTTTCGTAAGGTGTTTAGGCCAGCAATCCCCAATGCCTTTGTAGTCAACTGGAGCCTGTAAAACTTATTAAATTTATTTATTTGCAGAAGTGAAATAACTTGGAATTTTGCATTTCCAGATATGTTTTGAGTATATTCAGAAATCACCACCTTTTACCATTCTTTTACTACCTCACTTTTTCTTATAAATGTCAGAGGGGGAAAAATGTCACAAAGTGTGGTGAGCACTGCTCTCTACAGATAGGAATACATTTCAAGACAACAAAATACCTTGAGCTACTTTTTGTCATGAGTTTTCCTACCTGATTCTCCATAGTTCCATAACCCATAACAAGGAAGACCTGAAAAGGCTTGGTGACACCCATGCACTGAGTGCAGCACATTTTTGTGTGGAGTATCAAAGGAGACACAATTTTCCATGGCCAGGAAATGCATTATTATGGAATTCCTGCAGAGCACATGATTGACTTCCACCTTGTTGCACATTTCTGTACCATCTCTGAATGCATTCACGAGGGCAAATGGCAAGGCCCTATCCTGGTGGTAAACCACTGCTCCTACACAGCACTTCCATTAAGCAATCACAAATTACTTTAGCAACATTAACTAAACCTCCCTCAACCACTTGTGGGAGCCTAATTATACACCTACAGACATTGTCTCCATTGGCAGGTGGGAGAACAGCAGGATCCTGAAAGATTAGGAGTGACCAGCAAAACCATACGCACATCAGTGGCAAGGATCATCCATGGTCTACTGGTAATCCATCAGAGCGTATCTTCTGTAGCCGTAGGGGAAAAAAAACAATTCTAAAAGGGAATGATGCTGTATTTTAGTGACTGGGGAGAAAGTTCTGAGTTCTCAGTCAGAAATCACTGACTTTTTTAGTTTCTCTGTATTGATTCATCAGAATACACAATAAGAAATAGTTACTTTCTGGTTTGAGAAACAGCCAAAAGCTGCAAAGAGCTATTGCAGAGACATGCCAATTGGCCATTTACAATGCCTAATGCCATGTGTTTTCCTCTGTTTCTGGACTCAGATCTCTAGTAACAAAAAGTGGTTCTTGATTTATGAAAGGGATGTATGTAATACCCTGGAGGCTACTTCATCTCATCTGCCGTAAATTGGATCTCTTGGAGATGAGATGAGATGAGATGAGATGAGATGTGAGTGAAGAAATGCAATCTGTGACCATGGCACTATTCCTTGCAGCTGGAACAGCACTACATGTATTCATTTCTGTTTGTAAGGGAAAAATCTTTATTTGCCGTATTCTTAGAAAAGCAGATCTGCTTCTTTTCTGCTGGCTGGCCTTATCATACTCTGTCACTTTCCTCTAGGCCATGCTATCCAAAGAGTTGTTTGGTAGCGAGCCATTTCATCAAGGGCAGGATTTACATACTGAACTAAGATACAATATACACCTATGTAAACTAAACTCTTACATGATTAAAAAACAAATTGTCAAGGAGAAATGTAAGACAATCTGAGTATGACATAAAGTTGTAAGGAACTGACCCAAAGCTTTGGCATCAAATCTATCTTTCCTGTTTAGGGTGTAGAAAGTTTCTGAATTTTGTATACTCCAGTCATTCCTTGATCATTTGGTTAAATGAAGGCAACAAATGTGTTAGACACTTCTCTAGAATACATTCCTAATTTGTTGTCCATTCTGCTCATTCCAACTCTTAAAACTCAACTCCAAGAGAAAAGAGGCCCCTGTTTAAAATTAAAGCTCTTAAGTATGTTCCCAGACATAAAAAGATGCAAATATGTTTTGCTACATTGGGATCAGCAAATGGAAAGGGGACAAAATTGTCCAAACTGTACAAGAAGTCATGTCATCCAGTTGGGAGACAGAGATTTTCACCTTGGTGACCATAGATGCTGAATGGCTGGGGACTTCCCAGAGGTACCTTCCCCTGCAATGCTCTCTGCCTAGCTCTGTCTTAGCTTCATGGACCTATAAATTACTGCAAGTGTAATAAATTTTCAGCCACAAATCAGACTTTTTATTTCATGTTTGGAGTTCCCACCAAAATTCTTTTTCCTGAACATTGCTGTGTCTCTAGCACTAGCAAATACAGAAAGACACAAGTTCTTTAATTTTACAGGAATATTTCATAAATGAACTGCTCTTTCAGCCTTACTCTGCTGACTTAGAAGACAGGGTTCTCCCAGTAACCTGTCTTCTGTCAGTGTCTCACAAAGGGAAGGGCACTGTAAAGATAAAAACAATTTTGAAATGACTATCCAAATTGGCAAGCTAAGCTAGACCACCCTGGGGTAGTTTGCATCTTAGAGCAAGTCTTGGAAAACAAACTGTAGTTTTAGACTGAAGTCCTAACCATGCAGAGGTAAAATACCTGAGGAAGCTGCTGCTGGCAATTCAGCATCTCAACTAACACAGCATTTGCCCAGAGTTCTTTTGTCACATGTATGCATTTCCATAGCACATAATGCAGTGCAACATCAGGGCACCAATGCTGGGGCCAAAATAATCCTTGTGAAAACCCCCACCTAAAACCAGCGGTGCAACCCAGAGCTGAATTTGCCCTCCTATTTCTGAAAAGAGAAGTCTGCCAAGGATGGCATGGCCTATGAGGCACACACTGCTGGCAGGTTCTCAAGTGCCAAAATAGAACCAGCGTTGCCAGCCGTGCACATCCTGTGCTTTGCAGGCAAATCACAGACAAGAAAAACAATCAAGTTGTCTGGTGGAAAAAACGGCTTCCCAGGATCTCTCTGACCACGGTGTAATTGTGATCAATCCACACTGGCAAGTATCCTCTTTCCACGTGTGTTCCGCCTAGTGCAGGCTGCCTGCGTGAGCTGTTCAGGCAGGCTGATGCATGCTTGTTATTGCCGGCATAAATATCTCTGCCTTGTGTTATTGTGGCACAAAGCAGCTGGACCATTTGAAAATCATTTAAAAAGCACTATAAAATTAGAGCTCCAGTGCTCTTATTTTATGACTTTCACAAGCCGCCGTTGCCTAGAGAGAAATTATCCTCTTTATTTTCCAGGCTAAAGGTTCTTTTAACATTCATCAAAATCAAAGTGCACCCTTGATAACACATTGAGCTGTTACTTATCTAGTACAGACTCTTTACCTTCTGCATAATATCACATTTGAGATCTCAGTTCTTCATATACAACTCATTTCATTGTGTCTGCTGTTGCTTTCACCAAGTGAATTTGCATAGCTTCTGGATAGGCTAGATGATGCCCTGAAACACATTCTTTCCATAATTCCCTCTCTTTTTTTAATTTTATTTTTAGAACAATAGCCTGGAGTGCTTTTGTTACTGATCCTTCTATAAAAATGGTCAATTACCTCTTTGGCAATGGATTTGTACAGACCAATTAAGCACTGTAAGCAAAAGATTTTCAAGGACGGAAATAGTACTTAAGTGCATAACCTGATGGACTCACCCTTCTGCCTTCAAAAAAATCTCTTTCCCATATATAAGAAAAAGGCTTTGATAATTTTCTTTTTTTTCTATTCTTGTTTTTACAGACAGCTGCTTTACCAAACCCAGGAAAAAGGTGAGTGAACCAAAGCAGCATGACAAAATGCAAACAGTACAAAGGGAAAGCCATTCTTTTTTAGAAATAAAAAAGAAGCACAGCTGTATCAACCATACTTACAGCTCAAATCTGAAGGGCTTAGGAAGAGACACTGCATGAAATCCTCAACCACAAAGGTGACAAGTGGTGAATGCCCTGCACATGCTCTGTGCTGCAGCTCAAGAAAACCACTCTGTGTCTCTGTGTTGTTTAACCTGCCTTAGGTTTCTGTAAGGGACTGGTCACCTTAGTATCCAGACATCAAATACAGACTGGAGATAAACATTTACAAAGTCATAACCTTAGCTCTGTTCTCATGGTTCCCTCTTTGGCCAGGATTTTTGTCTTTATGTCCTGTGGGGATAGCAGGCTCATTCCTGTGCCAACAAGCGGCATGCTTTCAGATCCCTGCAAGGGGGGCTGGTTGGTGCTAATAGATCCCGCTGTGAAGGCATGTGTAGCCACACAGAGCATCTGTACAGTCAAGATGCATCATCCTGCAGGGAGGAGGAGATGTAATTTGCCAGAAGGCAGGCTGTGTGTGTGCAAAGAGAGCTTCGCCACCATGCCAGCACCTCTGAGAGCAGAGGGAGTCTGAATTTTTAATGACAAATTTTGCCTGTCATCACCCAGTTTGTGACCCATCAACAGAATGGTTAAGCTAGCAGAGGGACGAGATGAAGTTATTTGGTAATCACTATTTTTCATGACCCTGGAAAGGCAGAAAATGGGACAGGCATGACAGACATCTTCACAGATAAAGGAAGTGGGACAGACGTTTAGTAAGTCAGGATAAGAAAGCACCTCAGCTCTACAGCACATTTTTCTGTTCCAATAGTCAGTAACCACCTTCCTGTGTCTGACAGTCTCAGAAATAAAAAGAAGGGCCTAAATAAGCTCACCTAGCTCTGGGCTCCTGCATTTCAGATCAGATTTCATCTTCTGGGTTAAGACTGACCCACTCAATCTCAGCCCTTACTTGTGGCAATAGTGAAAAGTGGCAGAAGAGCAGACATCAGTGTAGCCCTCTCAAGACCTGATCCAGCACCACAACTGTGATTAAGTCACCTGTGCAGGAACTTCCTCCCTTCTGAGCTGACCTGTACATGTGTTTATTCCCTCTGAGGTATGTACACCTTGCTCAATAGACCAAAAATTAAAAACTCAGGGATAAATCCCTCACCCAATAGAACAGAAAATCCCTTCTACCCAGAGATTTCAAATTCCTGGACAGCCCTGAATTTGCCTTTGTTTGGGGGATAAACTGCCTGTGGTGAACAGTTTCTCACTCTTGGTCTTCACTAAAAAAGATAGCAAATTGACACTTGCAGTAAGTGCTTCAGTGCTGAAAGGGGAGGATTTTTCCTTTCAAGCACTGAAGTGGAACAGATGTCTGTAGAGTTTTGTTTCCCCCATACACACGTATCTACTAACACCTCAATGTGTAAAGGCTTGCTCACCTCATGTCCAGAGCAGGGTTAAGCATACCCTGGAGCTGCTTTGACCCAAATGATCAGTGGCTGGAAGGCTGGCAAAAGGACCAAGGTTGTAGGATGTCCTGTACAAGGCAGATTCAAAGTAATTTGTACTCAGTTAAACCTATTAATTTCCAGGAAGGCTTAATCTACTTCTGAATAGCAGGTGCAATCCTGTAACTCTGAGGTAGGCAGCCAAAGGGCAAAAGAAAGTTCCTGGATGCTGACAGTGTTCTTGTGGTGTTGCCAGCAGCTGCAGAGCTTCCATCATTTGCTTTGCTCACAAAATGAAACTGATTCTGCTGCTAACTGCAGAACCAATCTGGGACCAAAGTCGTTTTACCAAAAGAAGCAATACAAGAAAGAATACCTTAAAAAACAAGTAGGATCAGAATCCAGAGGGGAAAGGTGTGAGGGCACTGGGGTCTGTGTTCGCATCATCTCATGGAGCAAGGGTGTTCCTGCCCAGGTGATGGGCACCCATATAATCAGTTCTTTTTCCTTATCATCATAACAATTGAAAGTTGCTTCAAACATTTTTCTTTTGCTCCTTTACTTTTGATTCCTTGTCATCCTCCTCCATGGTGCCACTGTGAAATGGCAATTGGTTCATAGTGACAAATGTATTCCCAGCCTGGGGGGCAGATTCTGGGTGTTTGGTGCCCATGTTACAGAATGCAGTATTTAGTAACAGGTACTCTGCACACTGCATTCGTAAGACAGGTGGAAAAGGCACCAAGGCAGGTTAGACCTGAAGGTTTGGATAGTTATTTTCTCCATCAGCCCAGAGCAGAGTCTAGGGGAAGACAGCATAAGAAACAGGACAGCTGATTATCTTCCAGCTTTTGGCTTTCAATAGATTGGCTACTTCCTAAACCTCTTGATGCTTTGAATTAGTATTGACTGGATGGCAGGGCTGGTCCTAGTACAGAACTCCCTAGTTGCCCCAGCAAGAACATGGCCTCCATCAGCTCCAGGGAGCTTAGCTTGGGCTGTGGGGAAAGAAAGAAAAGGAGGGGTAAAGGCTGGGTGAGGAGAAAGGGTGCATGGATGAGAGCGGGCTGGGTGGGTAAGGAGCAGGCTGGGTGGGTGAGGAGCAGGCTGGGTGGGTGAGGAGCAGGCTGGGTAGGTGAGAAGCAGGCTGGGTGAGTGAGGAGCAGGCTGGCCCTGGAGGAGGTTCTAGGGTTGCTGCTACTGTGGGGCAACACAGCTATCACGGCTGTGAGGGTCATCCCCTTGTCGGACAAACTGCAAATGCCTCACTGTAAGGAAGGGGAAGGTGAAGGGGTCGTGGGAACCACCATGCTGAATGCAGAGGAGGAATGCCTCAAAGCCCCCAGGCAGTCTGGTTGTACTGTCCAAACCAATTTCCATTCTTGATGGGGAGAGAGCATGAACAGCAGACTCCTCCATCCCAGCCCTCTTCCAAAGCCCTGCTGGCTCCTGAGAGGCTCAGTCCTGGCAGTGGAAGTGTCTCGTCTGTGACACCCATGTGAGTGAAGGGTCAGGTTTTGCCTGTAGAACAGGCATGAGAGACACTCTGAGGTGATCCCAGCCCAGTGCAGCACTCAGTGCAACAGCCTGTGTCCACCCAAGTGTGTTCTCCCGCACAGCCTCTGTCCCTCATGCCTCCCGCTATTCCTAAACATCGGAGCAGTAGATCTTTCCTCTAGCTTGGCTCTTTTCCTACTACGACTCAAGGAACTGGGAATGGGAAGAGAAATGTATTTAGAAAGAGACAGAATTAAAGAATAAAAGAATCACCCTGCTCTTTACTTTGGGTGAGTGCATTATGTCTTGGACTGGTTTGCACAGCAGCTTTTGCCACTGGAGCAAAACCAGGCCAAACCATATGGTGTACAGGAAAAAATGGGTACTGTCATAGGCTTCTCTTACACAGAAGACCTGCATGGGAAAGGATATGGTGTAGATCTTTTGATGTATACACCCAGGTCAATACCAATTAAATTAATTCTGTACATTTCACGTTTTTCTTCAATCCAATCTGTGCAGTTTCTTGTATATTAGTAAGTGCTCCCTTTAAATGCCAGTCAGGAGTGGATCCTGTCATGAGATGCCCATCGCTGTGTATTTTTAAATCATTCAAGATTGCTTTCTCCTGCCATCTTGTGGCAATAGAAAAAAATCACAGCGTTTCACTAACAGCAGCATTGCCTGCTGGTCGGTCTAAGGCAAGGACTGTTAGTAAAGGCAGTGTATAATTAGATTAGTTTGCATAATTGGAAAAAAAATATAGCCCTTCTTGCATATCTAAAAAGTTGACTAATTCTTCCAGCTCTACCAGTTGATCTTGTAGCAGTGGTTCTTTTGTTATCCCAATGCAAAATGTCTGTTTTGTAGACCTCATGTTTCCAGAATGTCTGTAACAGCAAAGGAGAGTTGCATAACAGGTGAGGCCTTATCATTTTATGACAAGATTTAATCAAGTGTATACTAAATATTTTGAAGAGGGTCCTTTTGCCAGTTTTGCTCTCAGGTCTTCATAGCTGCTTCACAAAGCCATCTTTGTTTCCTATCAAACTATAGGAAGATCTTGTCTGATAGGCATCTAAAACTTTTCCTTTTACTGCAACAACTATATCTGTGTGACCTCTCAATGTAAACACCACAAAACCTGCCAAAGCACCCTGCATTGTTTGCTTAATTCTAAACAAAAACATTTTCATTATTTTGTTAAAAATTCATATAAGCTTTATAGAAGATTAAATTTAGGTTCCTGGATTTCCCCCCCGTTTTCCTGCAATTACATAAAAGTTATTTGAAAATGAATATTTGTGATTCCCACTCTCCCACCATAATAGCTTTTCCAACATAGTTGAGCTAAAAATATGAAAATTATATATTATAATTTAAAAAAAGAGAAAAAATTCAAAAGGAAAAAATGCCAGTATTTTCCCTTAAACTAAATGCAAAATTCAGAGCCAGTAAGAAAAACTACTCACAAAATTCCAGCCTGCAAAGAGAACGTAAATAAAAGCTCTCAAAGCTTTGTCCATTTTCACTAGCACTAGCAAAAATGACTGCTTGGGATGCCAGGCATTGGAGAGAAACTATGTTAGTGCTATTTATAGCTCATGGGCAGCTCCCATTACCACTGCACCTGAGAATCTCAAAGTCCTCAATGTATTCCTGCTCACAGCAACTTTCCCAAGCAGAGGACAGCCTTCCCAGGGTTGTGCTGGAGGCACTGAGGTTTGCTTAGGGAAAATGGACTGTTAGGTTTGCAGCGTGTTCCAAACTGTCTGCTATAAACTGCCTGCAGCAGGCACAACCTCCAGCAAGGCTGCCTTACACCCTGCTACCTCAACTCTCCCTCCTGGGAGCCATGAGGCTGCTGCTTTGCTGGAGGCTCCTTCCCCCCCTCCATCAACCAACGGAACAACTTTGGTTTCAATCTATAGTCCACACCAAACCTCAGTATGAAACAGCATCAGAAAAACAAAAGCATAACACCTGGCAAGATAAAGGTGAAAAGACCCTCCA